CCTCCTCCTCCTCCTCCTTCTCCTCCTCTTCCTCCTCCTCCTCCTCCACCTCCTCCTCCTCCTCCTCCTCCTCCGCCTCCTCTTCCTCCTCCTCTTCCTCCTCCTCCTCCTCCTCCTCCTCCGCCTCCTCCTCCTCTGCACGGACCCCGGCCACCCGCGCCCGCCGCACCCCGCAAGGGCAGGATCGGGGGTGGCCTCGCGCCGCCGTCGCCACGGCGCGCCCGCGCGCAGTGCGCGGGGCGCCGCCGCGACCCAGCAATCTGGCAGCCTTGCAGGGCGTTTCAATGATCCTGCGACTCCAGTACCGCCTTCAGCACCCGGGCTCATGAAGTGTCAGGCTTGCAAAGTACACCATGACCCCGAGCCACAATTACGACACAACTCGACTGTTGTTCCGAACTAATTGATTAAGTGGATGGGGTGGGTGGCGGTCTGCTGTAGCGGCATTCATCCGTAGCCAATGGGGCTCGAGCTTCAAACTGAGCAGGCCTTACGTTTGGACACACCACGCAGCTGGTGAGTCAACTCCGAGGCCAAGAAACAAGATTCGATCCATTCTCGCACCAGTTGTTTGGGTACTGCGTCTCCAGGCCCAAGTTGATTCAAGGAGTCTGCTTCGTCCTCCTCCTCCTCCTCCTCCTCCTGCTCCTCCTCCTCCTCCTCCTCCTCCTCCCGAAGAGATTTTGCAAACCAAGTTGCGGGTGGGTGGGTGGGATGTTTGCGCGAGCAATGGAGTGGACAACTCACTGCGAACAGAAAAAAATCTCCTTTATTAAAAAATAGACTCTACACCCCCCCCGACTATTCCGCCCCCCTTTCGGGTATGTAAATCAAATATGATTCTGACCACTCGTCCATCCTAAATATGAAATCGCACCATCCCAGCCAAGCCGGTCACTATGCGGTGACATATTTTGTTCTATCATAACACTTGTTTTCACGAATCCCTTGCAAAAAACGGGACGAAGTGCACACGCGCGCGTCGTCGCACGCGTACGCCGGAATCCTTCAAAAACCTTCGGTGCCGGAAGGATTTCGCAATCGAGTTTCCAAAAAACATACAACAACACAGGGTTTCGCATCACTGATTTGCTAAAAAAACTTCCGCGCGAGCTCTTGCGAAATCTCAAGAAGACCATAGGTTTTTCAAGATGTTCACAACATGCTACCAAACGGGCTTCGCGCGCGCGCGCATGTCGAAATCTGTCGAACGCCCTTGCGCGTGTGCCGTCGCGAGAATCCCCTGCAAAAAACGGGACGAAGTGCAGACGCGCGCGTCGTCGCGGGCGTATGCCGAAAACCTTCAAATCCCAGCGGTTTCAGAAGGATTTCAAGATCGTGTGCCCAAAAAACCTACCCAAACACAAGGTTTCGCAACACGGATTTTCAACAAAAGCGTGCGCGCGCGCTCTTGCGTCGTCGTCGTCGTCGTCGTCGTCGCCGTCCTCCCTCCTCCCGCGTCGTCGTCGTCGTCGTCGGCTACGTCGTCCTCTGTCTTTCCTCGTGTTCGTCGTCGTCGTCCTCTTTGGCGTCGTGGTCGTTTCCGTCGTCGTTGTCGCCGTGGTCGCCCGTCCTCCTCCTCCCACGTCGTCGTCGTCGTCCGTCGTCGGCGTCCCGTCGTCGGTTCTATTTCGTCACCGTCGTCGTCGTCGTTGTCGTCGTCGTCTTCCCTCCTCCCCCGTCGTTGTCGTCGTCGGCGTCGCCGTCCTTCCTCCTTCGTCGTCGTTCGCGTCGTCGCCGTCCTCCCTCTTCCCTCGTCGTTGTCGTCGTTGTCGTCGTTGTCGCCGTCGTCGTCTTCCTCCTCCCTCGTCGTCGCCTTCGTTGGCGTCGTCGTCGTCGTCTTCGTCGCGTCGGCGTCGGCGTCGTTGTCGTCGTCGAAGTCGTCGGAGACGTCGTCGGCGTCGTCGCTGTCGTCGGTGACCTCGCAGTCGGTCTTAAAAGGTTTTGCAAACCAAGTTGCGGGTGGGAGGGTGTGATGTTTGCGCGAGCAGTGGAGAGGACAGCTTCAAGTTGAGCAAGTGATTAGTTCTCCTTTCCAAAAAAATGACTCCACCCCCCCCAAACTTATCGGTTCCCCCTGGGATAATATGATTTCATAAATATTATGCACACTCGCCCATCCTATGTATGAAATCATACCATCCCAGCCAGGCCGGGTTCCCCCCCCTGAGGTTCCCTTGTAAAAAACACTATGCGGTGACATCTTTTGTTCTAACATAACACTTTTTCAATAATCCCTTGCAAAAAATGAAACGAAGTGCACACGCGCGCGTCGTCGCGCGCGTATGCCGAAATCCTTCAAAAACCTTCGGTGCCGGAAGGATGTCGCAATCGAGTTCCCAAAAAAACATACAAAAACAAATGGTTTCGTAACACTGATGTGCTAAACAAATTCCGCACGCGCTCTTACGAAATCTTAAGAGAACCATAGGTTGTTCAAGATTTTAACAAAATGCTACCAAACGGGCTTGGCGAGCGCGCATGTCGAAATCTGTCGAACGCCTTTGCGCGTGTGCCGTCGCGAGAATCCCCTGCAAAAAACGGGACGAAGTGCAGACGCGCGCGTCGTCGCGGGCGTATGCCGAAAACCTTCAAATCCCAGCGGTTTCAGAAGGATTTCAAGATCGTGTGCCCCAAAAACCTACCCAAACACAAGGTTTCGCAACACGGATTTTCAACAAAAGCGTGCGCGCGCGCTCTTGCGTCGTCGTCGTCGTCGTCGCCGTCCTCTCTCCTCCCGCGTCGTTGTCGTCGTCGTCGTCGCCTACGTCGTCCTCTGTCATTCCTCGTGTTCGTCGTCGTCGTCGTCCTTTTTGGCGTCGTGGTCGTTTCCGTCGTCGTTGTCGCCGTGGTCGTCTTTCCTCCTCCTCCTTCGTCGTCGTCGTCGTCCGTCGTCGGCGTCTCGTCGTCGTCCTTTCTATTTCGTCGCCGTCGTCGTCGTCGTCGTCGTCGTCGTCTTCCCTCCTCCCTCGTCGTTGCCGTCGTCGGCGTCGCCGTCCTTCCTCCTTCTTCGTCGTTCGCGTCGTCGCCGTCCTCCCTCCTCACTCGTCGTGATCGTCGTTGTCGCCGTCGTCGTCCGCCATCCTTCCTCGTTGTCTTCGTTGGCGACGTCGTCGTCGTCTTCGTCGTCGTCGTCGGCGTCGGCGTCGTTGTCGTCTTCGTCGTCGTCGACGTCGGCGTCGACGTCGCCCACCGTCGTCGTCGTCGTCGTCGTCGTCGCGTCATTGACGTCGTCGTCGTCGGTGTCGTCGTTATCGTCGTCGTCGGCGTCGTCATCGTCGTCGTCGTTGTCATCGTCGTCGTCGTCGGCGTCGGTGTCGTCGTCGTCGTCGGTGTCGTCGTCGTCGTCGTCGTTGTCGGCGTCGTCGAAGTCGTTGGAGACGTCGTCGGTGTCGTCGTACTCGTTGTCGGCGTCGTCGTCATCGTCGTTGTCGCTGTCGTCGTCGGCGTCGCTGTCGTTGCCCAGTGCCATTTTGTACCCACCGTCACGGTCTTAAGAGATTTTACAAACCAAGTTGCGGGCGGGTGGGTGGGATGTTTGCGCGAGCAGTGGAGTGGTCAACTCACTGCGAACACAAATTAATTGCACCGCATAGATTGCACCGCATAGATTGCATTATGTAGATTTTATCGCCTAAATTGCACCACGTAGGTTGCACCGCACAGACTGCATTACATAGGTTGCACCGCGAAGATTGCACCACATAGTTCTCCTTTCTAAAAACAGAATAGACTCTCCCCCCCGGCGTTATCGGTCCCCCTTTCGGGTATGTAAATCATATACGATTCCGACCACATGTCCATTCTAAATATGAAATCGTAATGTCCCAGGCCCGCCGGCACCCCCCCCTCTGAGGTCCCCTTTGTGATATTCTGTATTGTTTTATTTCCTTATTTGAAAAAAAAAGGAGAAAACAAAAAAAAAAAAAAAAAAAAAAAAATGCCGTGACATGTCTTGTTCCAACATAGCACTTGCTCACGAATCCCTTCAACACAAAAAAAAAACAACAAAAAACGAAGTGCACACGCGCGCGTCGTCGCGCGCGCATGCCGAAATCCTTTTAAAACAACTTCCGGTGCCGGAAGGATGTCGCAATCGAGTTTCCAAAAAGACATACGAAAACAAATGGTTTCGTAACACTGCTTTGCTAAAACAATTTCCGCGCTCGCTCTGGCGAAATCTGAAGAAAACTTTTGGTTGTTCCAGGTTTTCACAAAATGCTATTAAACGGGCTTCGCGCGCGCGCATGTCCAAATCTGTCGAACGCCCTTGCGCGTGTGCCGTCGCGAGAATCCTCCGCAAAAAACAGGACGAAGTGCAGATGCACGCGTCGTCGCGCGCGTACGCCGAAATCCTTCACAACCCATCGGTTTCGGAAGGATTTCAAGAACGTGTGTCCAAAAAACTACAAAAACCAAGGTTTCGCAATACGGATTGTCAACAAAAGCGTGCGCGCGCGCTCTTGCGTCGTCGGCGTCTTCCTTCCTCCCTCTTCGTTGTCGTGGTCGGCGTCCCCGTCCTTCCTCCTTCTTCGTCGTTCGCGTCGTCGCCGTCCTCCCTCCTCCCTCGTCGTTGTCGTCGTTGTCGTCGTTGTCGCCGCCGTCGTCCTCCCTCCTCCCTCGTCGTCGTCTTCGTTGGCGACGTCGTTGTCGTCGACGTCGTCGTTGTCTTCGTCGTCGTCGTCGGCGTCGTCGTCGGCGTCGTCGTCGTCGTTGTCATTGTCGTCGTCGACGGCGTCGTCGTCGTCGTCGGTGTCGTCGTCGTCGTGGTCGCTGCCGTCGTCGAAATCGTTGGAAACCTCGTCGGTGTCGTCGTCGTCGGTGTCGGCGGCGCCGTCGTCGTCGTTGTCGTTGTCGTCGTCGGCGTCGGTGTCGTGGCCAAGTGCCACATGGTACCTACCGTCACGGTCTTGTCTTAAGAGGTCTTGCGACCAAGTTGCGGGTGGGAGGGTGGGACGTTTGCACGAGCAGTGGAGAGGACAGCTTCAAGACGGTCAAAATGGATTCCCCATTCTAAAAACACAATAGACCCTACCCCCCCCGGCGTTATCGGTACCCCTTTCGGGTATGTAGATCACATATAATTCTGACCACATGTCCATCCTAAATATGAAATCGCAATATCCCAGGTCCGCCGGTATCCCCCCCCTGAGGTTCCCTTGTAAAAAAACACTATGCGGTGACATGTGTTGTTCTAACATGGTCACGAATCCCTTGCAAAAAACGAAACGAAGTGCACACGCGCGCGTCGTCGCGCGCGCATACCGAAA